AACGATCAGTGTTGGATTTATATTTTTCGAATGATACAAAAGAAAAATTTCAGGCTCGAGCCAGAGATGTCCATCGCGGTTGAACCTCTGCCGCTGCCGCGATGGTTTTCAAAAAAGTGTTTCGATTTTCACTGCTGCAACTGTATTGGACCAGAAATATTGGTACTAGTCCATCATATTCATTCAGTCTCGGGGTGTTTCATTTGTAAACAATGAAATTCTATTAAATTCATGCAGTTTTTCAATGTCCTCGAAAAAAAATGCTGCCGCTACCGCGATGAGCTTTTAAAAACTCTGCCGCTGTCGCGCCGCTGCCGCGATGAGTTTTTAAGAAACCTGCCGCTGCCGCGCCACCATGGACATCTCTGGCTCGAACACAGCTGTAGATCTTGAGTTGGCAAATCTAGTGCACCCCTTAGAACTGAAATTCCATACATTTTTCAAAGCACTTTAACTTCTTTGAACTTCACTCACTGCTCATCAGATTTATGAGCAAGTTTTGTTAACTAGTACAGAGAAAGATACAGAATATTAGCTTCTTTCTAATGGTAAAACTAGCGGATCGATAGCTCTTTGTGTTGAAGAGATCTTCGACAAACAATCATCCTTCTTTTATTTTGAAATGGACATTAATTTCAATATTGGATTATTTCAAAATACGCTAGAAATTTATTAGCCTCTGGTATCATTAATATTTGAACTTCCATATTTAAATTGGATTTTTTCGACTATTACAGATGAATCTATTATGTTCTTTGCTTCCAAAAATGTTTTTTTTTCTATTTTGCAAAAAGAAAGTCAAAACTTTTTACTTTAAAGTCATTTTCATTACTTTCTTATCGGTTACAACTTGAAAGTCATTGCAACTCAAAAACCTAAACACCAGCAATCTAATTAAATGAACAGTATTTGCAATTTTAGCTTCATTTTGTAGAAGAACATTACTAAATGGTTCATAATCTGTCATTTGAGAAATAGAAAATTCAAATAGTATGGCGAACTGAAATCAAGCAAAAGGAATCGATTCACTTCATATAGAAGTGATGACTTGAAAATTCCAAACATATGTTATTTAATATTATAAAGGATATTTTTGTTTTCTCTTTGCCTCTATTAGGGAATATTAATAAACCAATTACGTCAGAAATTGTTGCTATTCGTTTGAAGACTTTCAAATAATAATCTTTGATTATATATTTTATTGGAACATTTGACCAATATTTCTAGAGGGAAAGTCGAAAAACAATTTTTACGATTGTAATAGTACTTGATAGTTCAATTTCGAAAATGATCAGTTCATCTCAACTGAATGGAATTCATCAATGAAATAAGTGACTATAGAAATCTTTTTTTTCTTAAGCGCTAGATTGAGTCGATTTGATATCCAGAATTATTAGAATCCTCTGATTTATATAAAGTTGTAGTAAATTTTTTTCGTTCTTTGTTTAAAATAAATTCGTTTGAACTGCTTTAATAGACAAATTATCAGGAACTAGAACACAGTAAAACATCACTCAATAATGTATAGACAAGGAAATAAGATACTTTCTTTTTATTATGGCAAAAATATTAGAACATTCAGCCATAAAACCACCAGTTTATATAAGGCAGCCGATTTTGATACTACATTCAAATAATATAGAAGAAAGAAATTGATGAATGACACTGCTGAACGTATCATTTTAACATAATGAACCGCTAAATTCAGACTCGAAAATTTCATAACTATCATTGACATTTTCTTTCACTTTCAACCGATGTTTATCTGATGGATATCGTTTATATAATGAACGTTTGTCGATAATCAGTTGAAAATTTATGAAAAGTCCCGTAAGTTTTATATACACATATTTAACACGTCTGAGCTTGTTTTATCAATAACATATAGAAGATAATATTCATTGTAGTTATTTTCTTTCGAACTATAGTGTACCACTTTAGATTCGATTTCTTGAAATTTAGATTTTTTTCTCATAATAATATATGTATGAATGCACTATGCAAAATATCTTATGTGTGTTTGAATGTCAATGAGATAGTGCATAGAACAAAATAGAATCAACATACTGTGTAATATCTATTGTGTTCTTTGCCAATATAATGACACCCCTTTTTGGCTCTCTTATCACTTGTTTCATTTCTTGCGTCTACTCTAAATGGTTGCCTATACATTCATTTGTATGGAAGTGTTCTCGATTGTTTTGTATATTGAGAGTATGGCACTAGAATTATTCTTAATTCACCCACAGCCTAAACATTTATGAGTCAATATTTTCATTATTTAGAGGAAAAGAATCGTGACGTATATGCTCTCAGAACATGTCTTACTCGATTTACGTTCTTAATTCTTTATTTCTCCTTTTTTCTTTCATTTTCTTTGATGATAACCATCATTGACATTATAATCAAAATCAAGAGAAATGATGATTAATGAATGAATATCGAATAAAGCATCCAAGTGATTGAGAATATATTTGAAAGGTATTTTCATTCGATATAATCAAATACAAGTTTTTCTAATCAAGTTGGTTTTGATGGCATGCAATTTGGTAAAAAAGAATTAGATAGACAATCAATGAGTTTGATTAAGCTAAGCGACAAAAAAACTGATTTTTTTATTTTTATTTTGGTTAATTTTCAATAAAAACTACATTAAAATCGTTATGATTTCAGTTGTTTTCGTTTGCATCAAATATATATATATAATTATCATAAAGATTTACAAATTCTACATTTGAAACAAAACATCCGATATTCTAGCTATGTACTGTACATGTATAAAATTTTTTCAATAATACTTTCAGGCTTAACGAAAACGTTCCTATTGTTGATGCTATGATAAGTCATCATTAGTGTGTAGATTTGGATGTGAATATAAGTTTGAATCCTTCGTCTACTTTCATCTATACCTTAATCTATGCAGTAACATGTACAAGAGCAATCTCATTGAGTTATTTGCACTTACGCACTTATCCTAGAGTTGTAATCTGTCAATATCGGTCGGTTTTCACTGATTGACAAGTATTTTATAGATATGTTATTCTTTTCTTTTGGACACTCTTATCATATTAATGAAGTACTGTTGTTTTGAAAAAGTATCTTCTATCTTCTTCTATTTGTCCACACTGTTGTATTTCTTCAATGGAAGTATATTTGACTTTTTAAAGAAGTTAAAACAAAACTACTACGGGAGTTAAACCTAACTCATATATATTTTGTTCAAGATTAAATTTAGGTTCAGATTGTCGTTTGAAACAGAACGTTAGGTTTTTTTGTAAAGATCGAGTGATATAGTTTAACATTTCGACTGTGACAATCACTTGATACATAGGTGACTCTCTCTCATTATGTAGAGATAGATATTTCAAATATTCATCATTGAGAAACAAAATATATTATAAACAATTGGAACATGATGATTAAGAATAACTCAATAAATGAGCCACTTTTTGCTTTTTTTTACCAGCCGAACAGGAATAGTTTAATAAATCCCAACCAGTTACAATCTAGCGTTGGCACCTATAATTTCTATCGGGAACCATATCAGTGAATTAGAAATAAGTAAGACTCATTGAAATATATGTTTTAGAAAAGAGACAACTGTGAAAGTCTGTAGGAACTCAGAACGATATTTTACTGGTATTATTTGTTTGATCGCCTGAAAAATCTTTGTAAACTTGTGGACTTTTATTCGTTTCCCAATATTGTGAAACACGATCTGAAACGAGTGTTGAAGTGTACAACCTGTCACAGACCATTGCAGACGCTAGTCAGAGACACACAGATCACGACATAAGTTGTTAATACACAACCACAGATCGCATAGCAGTAACGGCTTGTTACAATATACAAAATACTTCCTTATGTCGTCTCTTGAGGATTAAGCAAAAAGAGGATGACGACGAAAGCAACTACATCCTGTTTCACATTTTAGTCTTACAGGGATTGCGCTAACAGTTTGTTTTAAATCAATCAAGCCCGATCGGTCTAGAATTTCTTGAATTGTCAGAATTTGGCCACGTTCACACTTAATATTGATATTGTGCTGTATCTGGTGTAGCTAAGAACGTTTTAAGTTATAGCACTGATTTTATTAAGAAAATTATCTTTTTGTGTTACCAACTATTAAAATATTCTCTTTAGAGTTCGTCAAAAGTAGTTTTATTGAATATATAAATCCATTTTTCACTTGCACGTCTTTGAAAAGAGTTATTTTTCATTCATAAATTGAACACAAATAATTGATTAAAATAACTTATCAAAATAACGGTTTATTGAATATTTTTGCTAAAATTTGTGATTACCATAAATCGAGTTTTTATTAACATGTTAAAAAAAATCAATTTACTATGATGAAAAGCTAAAATTCATATGAAATATTGTTTTTATACCATAACAACAGACACAACAATTAGGCTGATAAATCAAACCATTATCGATTTATTTTATTCAATTTTTCATATTTGTCTAATATTTGAAAAAGCTTTAAAGTTCAAAGAAATTTTCTAGTGGGAACATTCAAACAAAATTGTTCATAAAAATAGGAATTTTTAAAAAGTTCCTCGGGCGAAAACTATCCTAAAATTATCTAATTATTAGACATTGTACCATTTATAATTCAAAATAAAATATTCTTTCTTGCTAACAATCATGAAAGTTATCAGTATAAAAAGAGCACAAGTGTTAACAGCATGCAGAAATTATACGAAAAAACTCAATCATAATAGAAATGATGCATTAGAAAATAAATTTAAAAAGAACTATTTATCAAATTAGTAGATTATTTACCAGTTTGAAACCGCAGCGTTATTTCTTTTTGTCGTTGAAAATATAAATAAATTATTATTTGTCTGCAACGTATTTCATACGAATATCGCACTAATACTTGTTGAGAAGAATAATTCATCAATTTTACTTTAGTTCAATACGGGATTTTTTGATTAAATAAATAAAAAGAAAAAGAATATAAAAAAAAATGAAAAAAACAAAATCCAAGGTTTTCAACGTTGTCGAGCTGCTTTAACTACTTTCCATTTGTTGTTTTTCACTGGTTTAATTGAGAATTCATGTGTTGTATTAAGAAGATGCACCATTGTATCATATGCACGTCGTTTAGCATCATTTTTTTTTGAATCCCATACATAAGCCAACATGAGATGACCATCAAGTAAAAGTGAAAAATACCATTGTTTCTTAGTACCAATTTTTCTTTCGCGAGCAGTTTCTGTAATTGATATTAATGGTGGAATATTAAGAATTGATGTTATTCGAGAATATTCTTCACCAACACGAATACCATATGAATAAAATCGATGTTGAAGTGTACGAATTTGTGTCAAGAAAGGACGTTGATCAACACGTCGAGTACTATGTACAAAGAGAAAAGAAAAAATAATATTCTTTTATTTTTTAATTCAAATTAATCTTGTCATTTACCTTCCTTCTTCTTCATCTGTCACATCAGAAATGGCTCCTAATTGAGAAGCATGATCAATTGGTGCACATCGTTGACGATTTTCATGTTGACAATCATCTATACCACTAGTAGTTGTCGGACTAAATGTGTCAATATTATTCGGTATGTTTGTCTAAATATATAAAAACAACTTTGACTGAAAAGATAAACTATCATTTTTACAGATAAATAATGTTGATTCAAACGACAATCTTCAAATCTTATTTGTTCAAGAGTATTCTAGAATAAATTAAATTTTAACGTTGAAAGTAAATCATTAAATTTATTTAACTTACAGTAAGATTTTGAATTATTGATGATGATGGATATTGACGAGTCATCGCTGGATGACCAACTGATGGTGTCGATTCTAAAAAATCCAAACTTTTATATTTTATCAAACAAAATATTTAGGAATTAGAACTAGAGCTCATCGGATTAGTCCTGGGTTTAGGTCCGAAAACTTTGGTCGTGATAGATTCCACTCCTACACATTTCTCAGATGAGTTATCTAAGAAATGTGTAGAATGCACTAGTGACCTAATACAAAAATCCGAAAAAAGTTTTCGTATCCTTGGTGTGGCTACCCTATTCCAATAAAAATATTTTACTAAAAGTATCAAAGCACGGTTCAACTGGTTCGGGCCCGAAAAATGTTCAAAAATTCGGGTACAAGTGTGGAATTTTGGACCTTACGAGCTCTAGTTAGAACCTGGCACGCAGCCACTGTTGGAGTCAACTAAATTTTTTACAGAAAACTCAGTTTTAACATATGAACTTTTTCAATAGCAGATTTTGTTCTCTGATATTTATTGTACAAACTGATGCATTCTTGAGGTCTTAACGATGTCTTATCAAGGCATATGAACATGAAAGAAAGTTGGAATTGACTTTGACTCCACATTTGTTTCGTGCCTGGATGCCTTGACGAGACATTACTCAAACTACCAAAATGCACTGATGTGTACAGCAAATATCAGAGAAAAAAAAAAGCAGCTATTCAAAAAAGTTCTCATGCTAATGCTGAAATGTTGGCAATAGATTTAAATGACTGCATGCAGGACTTCATTAGAAATTTATTCACTTACGAATCGAACTTGATCCAAATGTAGTTGGTGCTACAGATTGAAATATATCATTTAAATTGAGTGGGTCATTACAAATAGATGGACCTTAATTAAAAATTATTTTAAAAAATAAAGATTATAATACAGAAAAGAAAAAAATCACAGCAATACCATCTGATAATGATATTGAATTCCATTTATTATTATTGTTTTGTAACACTGATGGTATAATAAGACGTGAATCATTCAGTGATGGTGGTTGAATTAATCGAGGTGGTGTTCCAATCGATGGTGACATATCTATATAAGAAATTATATTACTTAAACTAAAGATTTAAATTTACTTTGATGTAATATAAGATTAACATGATACATTTCACATTGTGTTACTGCAGATATCATTGATTTTTGCATATAAGTTGCTGCTAAATGACGAATGATTGGTGATTCATGTCTATGAAATAAATTCAAATAAAAAAAATCAATTATAGATTTCAAAATTTACGTTATCGACACTGTTAATTTTGATGATAATTTGACAACTGGTGATTCACATGAAAGTGTAACCATACATCGATATTGTTGTCGAAGACATCGAATAAAATAAGCCTAAAATCAATAATTTTTATATTAATATAATTAAATGATATTTAATTTTACTAAATTTTCAAAGACATAATTCGATACATTATATCCTTTAATACCATCAAATACATATCCAATAATTATTGTTGTTTGATACTAAAAGAAAAAAAATATCATATCAATGAAATATTACGAAATTTTAAAAAAATAATGAATTACTCCTTGATCGATAATACTCCAATTTCCTTGTCCACTATTATTTTCGTCACATTCTCGTTCTCTTGATAAATATGTTGTTACACATCGTTTAAATGCTTTTTAGAAATAAAATGATTTTGTTTTTCTATTAAACCTATTTAAAAAAAAATTTTTACTTTCAAATGAAAATGCATCTTGAGTTGTAACATTTAAATGAAGTGGACGTTTATGATCAAGCAATTGTCGTAATTCCGGTGGAATATAAGTACCATCGAGACGAATCGATACGACACAGTGCTGATCAATCTATAATTGAATTTATTATTTTATATTATATTTCAATGAATTATACTAACATAATCAAGAGCTTTAGCAGATAATAATTTGAATTTGTCCTTGTCCGACAGACTATTGATATCATACTACATAGAATAAAAATAAAGGAAATAAAAGTAAACAAATAAAAATGAGGAGAAAAAATTTACAATATGTGTTTCTCTCAATGACATCGACGACGGAATTTCTCCCGATGCACGATGTGAGGAGTTTATCGAATGCATCACTAGTAAAAGATTTATAATAATAATAATAATAAATAATTTTTAGTTTTCGAAAATAAAATGTTCACTCTGATCGAGACTGGAATTGTAGAAGATGATAATGACACAAATAAGACTTTGTTTTAGGAAGATCTCTTTTTTTCGAAATCGAAGATCAACAATAAACTGTTAGACTGAATAAGCACAGACAACTCGTCACCGCCGCTGGGGGTGATCGAGCGTCGAGTTATAGGTAAAAATGGTGAAATAACGGCAAGCACACATCCGAACAACGAGAGAAGGAGAGAGAAAACCATATCGTTAGAAAAAAGACGACCGCCCAGCAGCTGAATGTGTGTATTCGTCGTAGAAGGAATAAATATTATCCAGGGATTGATTATGTATCTATTCTGTATCTGTCCTCGTTTATTCTATTTCCATCGAGAAAATTTGAACTAGTGACAGTACGAGTGCATTTATATGATAATAAAAAAATATCGAGGTTAAATATTTCAAATCATTTGAATAAGTGATACACAGTTCATTATAATAAGTGAAAGGAAAGGTCAAAGGATCTACTGCATAGTCTATAACTATAGCATATACGTCGATATGAACAATTAATGAACAATAAAATTCAAATTTCTTAAAGTTTATTATTCATAAACACATTATATATATTTTTTTTCGTTTATTTTAAATAAACTAGTCAAATACCAACAATGCCTAAAAAAAATACGTCAACTATTTGCACTTGGTGTATCTAAATATGATGTTTCTTTATAGTTCGTACGATTAGTCCACATAATTAAGTCTCTTTATAATAAAAATATTGATGAATTTAAAAAAAAAACATTTAAAATTAACGAAATTGATTTATTTTCAATGTATTTAATACCTAATGTTTTTTGGATCATGTATTGTTACGTTTCTGCTATGGCAAGTATATATTCATTGATAAACTTTTAATAAAAACATAAAATTTAAATGAATCCTAAATATTAAACCACATAAAGCCTGGCGCAATTTTTTTTACAAATCAAGATCTCCAAAATATTATTGACACTGAGTTAAGTTTATAAGAAAAAAAGTTATTTTATAAAGAATAAGTATTATTTGGTGCCAGTTGTTTTAATCGAATCGATGGTTTTATTACCAGTTTGAGATCGAGAAAGAGCAGCAAGTACAGTTAGTTTAGTGCCTAAGCGTTTGAATGTATTTGGTGTTTTACCATGTTGTAAATGTTCTGCTGTTATTAATTTTGGTATTCCTGCTTTAGGTCTTAAATCTGGATCAAATAAATTGAAAATATTATGAACATTAGTTTTAGAATTTTCACATTGAAAAGAAATTTTTGTTGTCGTAGGATTTCGAAAAGTGGCAGATTTTCTTAGAGGATTTATACGTGGATAACGTTGATTTATATATTGAATAAGACGTGTTAAATCTGATGATAAATGTTTTTTATCAAGCATTTTTAAAATTAATGAACGAATCGATCCTGAACGATCTTGTACAGCTTGTGGAAAAACATTTTCAAAAAAGTTCATATAAGAGTGATGTTGAACTGTTTGATGTGGAGATTCTGATCGAGGAGGAAGAGTTTTATGAAGCTGTATATGGAAACGAGCTGATTCACGAGTCAAACAATGATCTTGAGAATATAAACGACTAAAAATAATGCAATTCAATATCTTTATTATTTATTCAAGTAAAAAACAGACTTATTTTGAATCGTTTTTAAAAATTCTTTATGTTTTGCATCGATTTCAATATAACCAAGCATATTTGTTAATTGAATATAATCCCGAACAAATGGTGATGCATCTGTTCTAGTTAATAAAGTCAAAACAAGGTCATATCGTCCACAAAACATCGCTAGAAATATGAATAAAAATGTCAATATCTTATAAACAGTATCTTTAAATTTTACCAAAGAGTAATGGTGTAAATCCAAAAACATTTCGTTCATCAATATCAATACCAAATTTAATAAATTTCTCAATTAAAATATTCATAATTGTCGTATCATCTTTTCCATAAATAACAACATAATGAAGAATTGTATTACCTTGTTGATCTTTCGATCGAAGATTAAGATCTAATGATGTTTCATTTAATAAAAAATCAAATAATTTATAACGTTGATAACGAAGTGTATACATAAGAACATTACAACCAAATTCATCACATACATTTGGTGAATAATGATAACGTGATGAAAATAAAAGTTTCATGGTTTGATATGCATAATCTTCATCAGGATAAATACATAATTGTATAAGTACTGGTATTGGATGTAAATTTTTTAATTGTGTTGAAGATGATGTAGATGATGAATGAGGACTTTTAGAGCCAGTACTACATGATAATCGTCGTGTTCCTATACGCGAATGTGTCAATGGACGTAAACATGGTAAATTCGGATTAATATCCGGTAGATTCATGTGTTAAATCTTGATAATATTTTTGATCTAGTTGCTCAGAACAAATATTGTTTTATTATACTCTTATTACTTTTTGTGATCTAATTGCTTTTTGTTAAGTATGAAATCGAATGTAACTTTTAATGAACTCTTGTCGATACATAAACACCGTCAATTTGCTATTGCTCGCTGTTTCTAGTAGTGGAAAAATTTGTTATTTGATGTGAATTTCTTTTTCTTCTTGTTATATTTCTTGTCGTTCGCTTGTTGTTCGTTAAAGTCGTATATAGACATAGAAAAGAAAAAGAGATTTTCAAGTGTTGATTAATTTTTAAACATGTCAATCTATTGAGTATTACTTCTGTTTGTCATCGAATGCAAATAAAAAATGTCCATGGTGCAGTAGTTTTCTTTCTTACTTGAAATTTCGCGACGGGATATTTAAAATGAAAGAAGAAAAATAAAAATAAAAATATACATTTGATTCAATCGATTTGAAATGTTTTTAAATATAACCAAACAACTGTTTTCTTATTCATGAAAACAAGATCAGCTTATGTTATAAAGAATCATTACAACTGAAATCTGTTTATCTACTGATGTTGACTATTTGCGTTCTAGGCATTTGTTTAATTCACCCCCACATACTAATGTATTACTCCTTTAAATAACGTTATTTT